TAAAAATAAGTAGTAAAGTAAAAATATCAGAAAAATCTACTTGAGTACAGTAACGAAGTATTTGTACTTCGTTACTTCCCATCTCTGCCCCACATGTACACCAATGACGCACCATCAGGCTGAGAGTCGGCCCGAAGAGGGTAAAAAAAATCGTACAGTGTATTCCCGGCTTTATATCTACCTTTGTTAACATTATTTCCTCAGATAATGTTGCTTACGGGCCTATTGTTGTGTTGCTACACCATTGCATTGAGGTAGTTCAAAGTCTTTTTTTCGTACAAAACTAAAGGGATGAATGTAAATCCAAAGTATGAAGATGAGAATGTGTGGGACTACTCACATTTTGAACAAACCAATCAAACCTGAGGTAGCATTAAAGACTGCACTTTATTTAAACCATCTTAGAACCCAGTTAACAACAGATCTGCCCAGTAAGCCCTAAAACAGGGTGCACTTACTTTATATACTTGGTGAACGATGCTCATGATACGGAGGTAAACTGACCTTTTGAGCTGTAAACTATATAAGTCACACATGTGAATAGCGTAATATGGGGAACTATATTTCCTTTGGATGATGGCTGAATGTCTGCTAATATCTGGGAAATGTAGTGCTCAAAGTTCATCTGTTATAAATCAACTGACCTCATAAGTGAAAGTAAATAAGATTTTAGAACAGAGACTGATTCAGGTTTATGGGGACTGGAAGGAAGAGGTCTTCATTACTGGGACTAAATAGCTTTTTATGTATATAACTAGTATGTTAAAGGAACCTTTACACTTTTTACACATTTGTTCCATGTATGTGCAGAAATAACTGTTTGACCATGATTAGAGCTCGAATCACTCTTTCATCTATTGTTCTAACACACAGTTAGTAGGACTGTGTGTCATAAACAGTATATAACAGCTGAAATAATATCTGATTAAATAAGACATTTTACCATCTCTACAAGGGGAGGGCATCTTAAACTATCAGAAATATAAATTCCCAGCTGACTGGGAATGGAAAAGAAGATAAAATCACAACATTTCTTGTAAAATCCCTTTGAATCTCCTTGGGGAGACATTTTTTTTTTTTTTTTTAGAAAATTCCCAAAAGCTCTGAAAAAAGATCCACTTTGGTTCATCCAGATGCAGCTCTGATTTGGTCGGATTCAGCAGGACTTCCTTATAAACCTCCCCCCTCAGAAAGCCCCGATGCTGGACAGTGGATACCAGGCTCTTTGCTGGAGGTGAGTGAGGATGATGAACAGTCATTCTAGGACTAAATAAAAACATCTTCTTTTTAAGCCACCTAAAGACCTCTGCAGAGCATTCCTTAAGCATTCCAGGCATACACTAACCTGACTCCGCCAAATGGATTTGCTCCGCATATCCATCTGGAAACCTTCCGTTGAAGTAATTTTGGGAAGGGGCAAAAATACTGATTAGCTGATTGGTCTATGTTGGTGATAGACGGGCCAAATAAACCAATCAGATCAAC